ATAACTCCGACTGGATTCGTCTGAAAGAAGAAAATCATATACACCTAGGATGCCTTGAGGGTAAGTAATTCATGGGCTAATTTTCATTTTTGGGTGAACTAACCCTTTAACCCATCTCTTTTAGAGAACTACATACTGGTTTCCCTTCTTCTTTTCATTGCAAAACAATTGAAAGAGCCGTGTTCAACCAAGTCTCTGCCTTTTTCAAGGCATCTCAGGAACCGCACTCCAGTGGTTTGAGTCTTACCTCTCAGATAGGTCCCTCAAGGTATCTTGGAGAGGTGAGGTGTCCAAGTCGCGACATGTAACTACTGCCTCAGGGCTCAGTTCTTGCACCACTTCTCTTCTCTGTCTACATGGCAACACTAGGTTCTGTCATCCAGAAACATGACTTTTCATGTCACTGCTATGTTGATGACACTCAACTCTACCTCTCATTCCATCCTGATGATCCGACGATACCTGCTCACATCTCAGCTTGTCTAACAGATATTTCTTGTTGGAAGAAGGCCCATCGCCTTCAACTCAACCTTGCCAAGACAGAACTGCTTGTGGTTCCATCAAACCCATCGTTTCATCACAATTTCACCATCCAGTTAGGCACATCAACCATAACTCCTTTAAAAACAGCCAGAAATCTTGGAGTTATGATTGATGATCAGCTGACTTTCTCAGACCAAATTGCTAAAACTGCCCAGTCCTGCAGATTTGCTTTATTCAACATCAGATTGATTTTTAATGAGCCGAAAATAATGTACGTCACACCCCTGTTTATCAATTTGCTCTGGCTACCAATAGCTGCTCGCATAAAATTCAAGGCATTAATGTTTGCCTACAAAACCACCGCTGGCTCTGCACCCATTTACCTAAATTCATTACTTCAGACTTATGTACCCTCTAGAAGCTTGCCTTCTGCAAGTGAACATCACTTTATTGTGCAATCCCAAAGAGGCACAAAATCACTTTCAAGGACTTGTGGACTAAATGTTCCCTCCTGTTGGAATGACCTGCTCAACTCAATCCGAGCAGCTGAGTCCTTAGCCATCTTTAAGAATCGGCTAAAAACACTTTTCATCCATCTGGATTTGACCCACTAACTCTAGCACTCTCTATTCTAATTCTATTCTTAAAAAAAAAAAAACTTGCACTCATTGTATTCATTTGTGACACTGCCACAGTAAAAGCCCTGCACGATGCTCACTTACGTTACAAAAAAAGTAATTGTTTATGTATATGTGCCATGCCTATATATTTATAGTTTAGTTTTTCTTCTGAATGTATGTTGATTTTGAACATTTGCACATGCATTTTGTTTGAGGGGGACTTTTGTTGGCCTCTAAGGACTCTTAGTATGGTGGGCCTTTGGATAAGAGGAAAACGCGGCCATTTTAAAGGAAGCTTTTTGTGTTTGGTGAGGTGGCTTGTTTTTTTGGCTAAACTAGCTCTGTGTAATTGTCCAAAGTGATCTCTGGGAATAGAGACATTGTATATCAGACTTTGAAACCATTTCATAGGGGCACGCTCTGGTCGGGGATATACATTTTTGGACTATACTCTGGGGACTTTTTACAGCTGGAGGATAACCTGTTTTTTCTGGGGCCTTGAACCAGTGGACTTATATTTTTTCTCTTTTTGGGGACATTGTTTTTTCATCAGGACTTTAAATTTCCTCTCTACCCCAAAGCAGAAAAGGACTGTTGAGTATCATCTTTATTATTATTTTTTTGCTTGAAAGGACTGTTGGGTTATGGGCAACAAGCCTACTCATGAACTTTTGCTATATTACTATTTCATTTGGGTTTATAAAAGAGTCAACAGATTGGGTTATCTTTGCATTTGTCTAACAAGTGTCTAATTTGCCTCATATTTTCAATACAGTGTTGTTTGGGGACTTTGATGTGTTTGCAATCATGCTGTTTCTGTGTTTTACATTTTTGACAAATGAGTAAAAGGAAACAATAGTCAAAATCCCTTGTGATAATGATTCAACACTTTTGTAAAGAGTTGGGGTTGTTATACATTTACTAACTGCTTGTTTTCTTAAAAAAAGCTTGCTCTATTCTTTTTCTATTCTATCTGTTTTTTTTATTTTTTATTATATAATTTAAAAAAAAAATTCTACGTGTACTGCGTTAAGCTAACTGAGACTTGTTATAGCACTTGCATATCATTGCTCTCTTGTTGATTTTGGTTGCTTCCATTGTCCTCATTTGTAAGTCGCTTTGGATAAAAGCGTCTGCTAAATGACTAAATGTAAATGTATATATTGTTTGGTTGAATAAACCGATTACTGCTGCAAAATCCTCTGCTTCATGCTGCCTTCTACCACAGCGTGAAATGCGTGTCACAAATTTGGTTTAGTTACACCAAGGGACTCTTATTTTGACTTTATACCCCTTACAGTTTGTCGCTCCTTTGTCAGATATTGTTATATATAACTGTTGGGTTAGGGCTGCACGATTAATCGAATGTGAATGTCATACGCATTTTGATCGTAATGCCGGCTCTAAAATCAGCAGGAAGTCGTGTGTTTATTAGTCACGTTGAATCAATGAAAGCAGTTGAATCTTCTGTTTATTCAGCTGCAGTGATAGGCATTTTCTGTGTTTCTTCTGCGAGGCGTATTTGGAGTTTCAGCGCGAGAGTGCCCTCTGGCCTTTGGATGGAGATTTACTGCTGATCACAGAACCATGCTTCACTGAAAGATACGCATGACAATCGCAGCTTCTGTCGAATCACGATCTCGATTCCATTTCGATTTATCGTGCAGCCCTATGTTGGGTGTCCTACTCTTCTGGATTACTTGTTTTTTGTTACCCTTTGTGGATTTACACTTTTGTATTCATCATGTATTCATCAAGACAATAATCAGAGATTAAACAGAGTGTAAAATGGCCCATACCACAACAATTTTGTTTTGAGGATGAAAATGCAGTGTCCTTCCTAGTTAAGAGTTATAAGCCTTATCTTTCAGCTCAAGAAGATTTTTCCTGGTGAGTCACTGGAAGTCAAATATAGATTTATGATATAGATTTATTTATTTAATATCAACTCAATATGAAGTGTATTAAATTAATTACATTATTTCTTTTGGACTTAAAAAATATTGTTCATATTATCTGTAATATCTTTAATCCCAACCTCCTCGCAAGCTACACGTTGATGTCCACTTTTGGTTTCTAGAAGTAATTTTATAACATAAAAATCAAGGCAGTGTATACTTAGATAATTATTTCTTTATTTATATCTTTCTATCTATTTATCTATCTATGGCAGTCGTGGTTAGAGAGTCGGACTTTTAACCCAAAGGTTGCGGGTTGCAGCAGGGATTGTAGGTTGGGGGAGTGAATGACCAGCGCTATCTTTCACCCCCAATACCACGACTTAGGTGAGACCGTTGAGCAAGGCGCTGAACCCCCAACTGCTCCCCAGGAAGCCCAGCAAAAAATGGCTGCCCACTGCTTAATATTCTGTGTGTGTTCACAGTGAGTGTGCGTGTGTGCACTTGGATGGGAGTACAAATTCCAAGTTTGCAGATCACAAATTCTGAGTATGGGAAACCATACGTGGCTACACCTTTTCACTTAATAGACAAAATAATCATTGCTTAATATTCTTAGAGCTCATAGGTTTATCATTATGATGTTGTCATTG